CATCGTGTAGCCAGCTGCGTACGTTCCTGCAGGACAGTCAGGTTCCCCCGAACCTGCGCTCCTCTGCGAGAAGATGGTGTCAATTGCATTGAGAGACCAGTTGATCAACTCCATAATTTCCTTAGTTTTGAAGAGCAGGGCTGAGAGGGTCTCCCGAGTATAGACAATATGACACAAATTGGCTGTTTAGAGACATGGACATTCCTTCCCACAACAGAAACCGTATTCTTATTTTTCTCATATTTGTCTTTCTTATTTGAGGATAGATTTTTTATAGACAAAAAGCTCTTTACCATCAGTAACAAAAATAGAATATTTCACAATAGCAGAATTATACTATACACCTGTTCTTCTTGATCTCTGTTTCTCATTGAACTGTACTGACCATCCACTGTGGAGGTTCTGTGCTTGCAGACAGACCATTTGTACATTTATATCAGAGGCCACAGATAATTTTCTGCTGACTAATGCATCTGATTCCATCTCTCCGTCTATTCTATGTGTAATGTTTAAAGATGTAATTAGAGGAGAAATAATTTCTTAAACTTCAGCTTATGATAAATCAAAGAAACGAAAACAGCAACAATAAATTCAATAGCAATTTTAGACAGTCAGCATTCAGTAAATTCTTAGCAAGAGTTATAAATCAGTGCTAGAACTTAAAGCTCAGTACCATTGGTTATCAGTAGAAAGAACTCAACATTACCTACTTTGGTCAAAAGGTTATTTTTATGAACATGGAGAAAAAAGCAGGATGTATCCTAGTCCACCAGTTAAAATATAAGTAGATACCTCAGCTGATCCTTCAAATTCGTAATACATCCCAACAACTGACAGTGGACCCCCGAGAAATGTGACACATTTAAGGAATATTATTCAGAGCTATACACAAATAAGTTCAAATATGCTTATTTAAAAAACAAATCTAAACACCCCCACAACTGACCCTATATAAAAAGAAGGATTAGAATACCCTTTTCAAATAAAGGAGATATTAGACTCCATCAGAGCTATGCAAAACAGTAAAACCCCAGGACTAGATGGCTATGCTGTGGAGTTTTATAAAACAATCTCTTCTAAAAATATTAAAACATTCACTGAAACAGACAAAACTCCCACAAACTCTGACAGAAGCATCTATTAGGCTACATTAATTTTAAAACTTGTGAATGTAGTCCCTACAAACCAATTTCAATAGTAAATGTAGGTGTAAAAATGATAGCAAAACTCTTAGCTTCCGGAATGGAATCCATTATGCCAAACATAATCTCACCTAACCAAACTGGTTTCACTTTAGGTTGACATTCCTTTACTAATATTCGTAGACTACTCAATGACATTCATTCTCACCACCACTCCCCCTACACCAGCGGATGTCTCGGAAGTAGTGATATCCCTGGGTGTGGAGAAAGGATTTGATGCAGTCGATTGAATGGAACTTGCTGTGGTAAAATGATTCAGTTTCAGTTTTGGTCCAAAAATTATTTCCTATATTTAACTGTTAAACCCCTCTCCTAAAGCATCAGTTGTCACAAACAAATTTCACTCAACTTTTCCCGCTGTCCTGAGGAACCGCACAGGAATACCTACTAAGTCCTCTTCTTTTTGTTTTGATCATAAAGCCATTCTCTATCAAGCTACACTCACCTAAAGGATTATTAGGAACACCATACTAATACGGTGTTTGACCCCCTTTAGCCTTCAGAACTGCCTTAATTCTACGTGGCATTGTTTCAACAAGGTGCTGAAAGCATTCTTTAGAAATGTTGGCCCATATTGATAGGATAGCATCTTGCAGTTGATGGAGATTTGTGGGATGCACATCC